TTCAACAGAATCAGAAAATAATTCGACACGAAATGAGCGAGAAATGATCATTCTTAACAACACTGATGTACGTGAACCATGATGATTAATTACTTAATCTATTTATGCCTGTACAAAACTTGGAAGCACAATGTCATAATGTTTCAAGCAACACGGGTGAAAGGGAGCTTAAAAACAGAATTTTAATAAGCGTACAATGTTTCCAGTTAATTCCGATACACTGTCACTCCCGTTTCATATTCGAAACATCGATCACTCGTAGCATTGTTCGCTTCGTGGCTCAACGTGTACCTGAAACTTGAGAAACGTTTGTAATTAATTCCCATCGTTCTCGCGTTTACTGAGAATCAGAGGAGGAGGTGGAGGACGATTCCCCGGGTGTTTGCGACGATGAGTGATCATGCTGCTCCGTTGAGTGAACCTCTGTCCGCACAGATCACACTCGTACGGTTTCTCCCCAGTATGAGTGACCCTGTGCACCCTGAGTGCAACCGAGGAAGTGAACGATTTTGAGCAAATTTGGCACTCGTAGGGACGTTCACCGGTGTGCTTTCGCGTATGCAATTGCAGGGAATATCTGTTTGCAAGTACCTTGCCACACTCAGCGCAAAGAAAGCTCTGTGAATGCGAAGTAGCGTGGTTTCGAAGGTTGCTTTCCGTGACAAAATTTCGATGGCAGACGTCGCACGGATACAACTTCGGTTCTTTTTTCTGTATCCCGTGGACAATGCGCTGATGAGCCACCAAGTAAGCCTGTCGAGGATAAACCTTGTTGCAAAACTCGCAGGAGAAGGTCTTCATCCATAAAGGATGCGGTTTCTGTTCTCTCAGATCAGCACTGACCACGAAGCTCTCATTGTTTCGATCGCGTATGGTTTTCGGATCCACGCTGCTGTGCACCCGTATCTGATGGATTCTCAGACCAGACATGCGTTTGTACTTCAAATGGCAGAAAGGACACTCGAGGCGAGTGTCCTTTTGATGAGACTTCAGGTGTGCGTCGAGAGCACCCTGCGAATCGTAACTTTCGTAACACTTCCTGCAACGAAACGGTCTTTTGTGGTCCCTCGATATATGTTTGCCCATTTGCTTCTCGCTCTTGAACTTCCTTTGGCAAAGTGGACAAACTGTACGTAGATTCTGCAGAATCTCATCTACTTCTTTCGATGCATCGGTTGCTGCTATTTTCTGTGAACCTTCTTTCTTCTTTTGACTCTTCTTTACTTTCTGTTTACGCCTTTTGTCGTCTCCCTTCTCAATCTTTTTTGATTTACTTTTATCTGTATCTTTGGTAGGTAATTTGCTAGTCTTTGGTGGCAGGTTGATAGGTACTACAACTTTTTTGATCTCGTAGGACACTGGCCCGTCGTTGTCCTTGATCGGTATAAGAACGCTTTTAATGATATTCAAGCCTGTCTCGTCTTTCACTTCAACCGGTACGTACATGCTCTGAATGTTTCTTGTCACTGGGTCCCTCACGGGCACCAACACTGCAGGCACTGTTTCCAGATATGGTTCTTCTTTAACTATCTCTATCGCAGAACAATAACTACCGTCGGTCATTAACGAGTCAATACTGTCTTCGTCTTCGTGGGAAATCGGAGCGGGCTTAATTTGTATCGGAATATCGTCCTGGTCCGAAACAGAGGATCCGTTACATTCTATAAAAAGTGGATGGGCCGGATTCTGTACGGTAGACGTATCTGCGATCGTTGGTATCCTGAAACATCCATTCATTTAGTCAGTCGCAACGAAGGTATCCATAAACTCAAATAAACAAAAAACAACTGATAATCGTTATGGTTGTCTGCAAAACTGTCTCTCTGCCAGAATTTTATTTATTTGCACGTAACTGTCGATTTTAGTGGTTAGTTGCACGTTAAACGAGAGGAAAGGAAAATAACTGGACAGATGTTGCAAATTACATAGTAAACGTTCGAAAGCTGGTATAAAAGATTTAATTAAAGGAACGAAGAATTTAATACAAGCGATGGTTCTCTGTTGAGCATTGCAACAAATTAATAGTTAACGATAAATTCTCAAAATCAAACAATCGTAAATTATATTGAAGGGATTCGCTAAATTCTCATACAATTAATAAAACTATTAATAATCTGGCTTTCTATTAATACTGCGCCATTGTTTCGAATCTTCTGATATCTCTATACATCAAATTTCATGTGAAGCCTATATGATAAAAGTGACGCTTGGTCTAATTAAACATCTATCAACAAGGAAGCAATTCTCTGTACCTTTTCACCTCGATAAACGTGGTTTACGACGTTGTATTTTGTAAATACTTCAAACATCACATTCCTGCGTTTCTGTAAAATAATATGATTACAATGAAAAAACAAAACAGACCTGCATAGTCGCAATGTAAGACTTATCATGGCACCCTGAGTTTAGTAAGAAAATATTCGTAATTATGCACTAAAGGTTTCATTGAAACATTGAAATATTAACATTCATAAATCAATGTAGGCATAACCATTCTTAACAATGCGAATGTATGTAAAATAAACGAAAATAAAAATTAAACGTTTTATAAATTCAGAAACGCGATGAAAAAAGTGAATTAATATATTACAATATTGTACAATCGTCGACTTTTGGATAACAAAAGGAATTCTTTTTAGTCTTATGACACTGTAAACACTTTTTACAATACTCCTTTCGAGTTCAATAATTGTCCAGACGCTAATTATTATTAGGTCTAATCACTGTCGTCGTCAAAATTGCCAAGGAAAACAGGAGGCGGTGGTGGATGATTTCCAGGATGTTTGCGACGATGTGCCATCATGCTGCTTCGTTGAGTAAACCTCTGCCCACAAAAATCGCACGCGTAGGGCCTCTTACCTTCGTGGGTGAGTCTGTGCACTCGAAGTGCAACCGATGCAGTAAAGGTTTTCGAGCAGACTTTGCACCGATACGGTCGTTCGCCGGTATGCGTTCGAATGTGCAACTGCAACGAGTATTTGTTGGCGAGCTTTTTGCCGCAATGAGAACAGAGGAAGCTTTGCGTGTGCAGATCGGTGTGCACACGAAGGTTGTCTTCCGTGACAAATTTCTTGCTGCAAATTTTGCACTGAAACGTCTTCGATTCCATCTTCTGTATCTCGTGGACAATACGTTTGTGAGCCACCAGATAAGATTTCTTGGGGTATGCGTTATCACAGAACTGGCAGATGTACCTTTTCGTCGCTGGTTGACTGGCACTTTTATTCTTTAGATTATAGTTAGATATGGACTGGTCTGCGTTAGGTCCACGCACAGACTTCGGATCCACGGTGCTGTGCTCCCGAATTTGATGGGCTCTGAGTCCACACATACGTTTGTACTTTAAATGACAGAAAGGACACTCCATGAGGATGTCCTTCTCGTGAGTTTTCATGTGCTTCTTGAGATCGTCCTCGGAGGCGTAACTAAATTGACAACTCTTGCAACGATAACGATTTTTGTGCGCCCTGAGAATATGTCTCTCCATCTGTTTTTCGTTATTGAATCTCTTCTGACAAAGGGGACATGTATTTCGCAGAGTCTCCAGTAACTGGTCCACTTCATCTTTGTCCTCTATCTTCCCTTCCAAGTCCTTACTCCCCACTGGTACAGTTTTAACTCTTTTCTGCTTCCTTTGTATATCTTCCCCTTTCAACTTTTTTGCAGGTACAATCTCAAATTCTTCTTCCAAATTATTCGCCTCCCTGTCCCCTATTTTTCTTTTCGACTCCTTACTCTTCGCTGGTACAGCTTTAACTCTCTTCTGCCTTCTTTGCACTCTGGTCTTCTTTTTCTCTGGTTTTGATTTCATGGGTTTCAACTTGACCTGCAACGGTTTCTTTTTCTTCGTTGGCAGGCTCAGCTCGGGATTGATGGGCACGACCACCTTCTTGATCTCGTAGGATACCAAACCATCTTCGTCCTTAACCGGTATAAGAACGCTTTTAATAATGTTCAGCCCTGTCTCGTCCTTCACTTCAACTGGCACATAAGTGTTCCTAATTTCCCTCGTCACTGGGTCCCTAATAGGCACCATCACTGTCGGTACCGTGTCCATGATTGGCTCTTCCTTAACATCATCCGCCGCGAAATCACCGTTAACCTTTTTCGATAACGAAACATGATTACTGACTTCGTATGGCAACGAACGATACTTCGATTCGTTCGAATACAGGTCATCGTTAATGTCAACTTCGTTATTCTCTTCCATCATCCGTTCACTACTATCATATCTATGGTCAACATCGATCTGCATGCTATAGGTTTCGTCTTCGTCGGAAAGCGGGGAGTCCTTAATTTGAACCGGTACTTCGTCTTGGTCCAAAATAGGAAATCCCTTACATACTATAAAAAGTGGTTGCAGTGGGTTATGTGTAGTAGACGTTTCAGCGATCGTAGGCTTCCTGAAACATCCATTCATTTAGTCAGTCGCACGAAGGTATTGATATACTCGAGTAAACAAAATCAAAAACAACTAATTATCGTCGATATGGTCTGCAGAACCGGTTCTGCGCCAATCGACCACTTGCCTATTACAATGTTACTACAGATTTTGGGACTTTTAGTTACGTGTTTGCAAGATGAAAGGAAAGTAAGGAAGCGAATGTTATAGGAGACAAAAATCCTACAAAAAGAATATAATTAAAGATTTCGGTACAAACGAACTTAATATCCACTTACAGTTAATATCATTTACATATCTATGCGCCCTAATATTCGTCGTTTACGCTTGTCTGTGGTCGAAAATTTGTTAACTCAATTAACAATCCTATTGGCTTCCTGCTTGTACAGCGTGGATCAGGAAAATATGTAAATAATGTCAAAAAAAAAATTCCTAGTAATAATATTGTACTAAAAAAAAAGCATTCCAATAATTGTTCGATATTCCTGTTCCGTTCCACTGCAAGCAACTGCAACACACTTTTGTATTATACACGTTCGAGTTCACGTTACTCGTACAGGGCGTAATAAATAATGTTTCACGGTGTTCGAGGATCGTAAACACTAGTCGCTGTCGCACACAACATTCCCAAGCAATATGGGTGGAACTGGGGGATGATTCCCGGGGTGTTTGCGACGATGGATCATCATGCTACCACGCTGGGTATATCCGCGTCCACAAATATCGCAGACGTACGGTTTCCTCCCAGTGTGGGTGAGCGCGTGCACTCTAAGCCCAACCGATTTGGCGAAAGACTTGGGGCACATTTTGCACTGATAAGGCCGTTCACCGGTGTGCGTTCGCATGTGCAGGTACAAATTATATTTGCTGGCCAGTTCCCTGCCGCACTCAGCGCACAGGAATTTCTGTGCGTGCAAATTCACATGGCTGACGAGGTTCCTCTCGGTGACAAATGTCTTGTTGCAGACGTTGCACTGAAACGACTTTGGTTCCCTTTTCTGTATCCCGTGGGCAATGCGTTTATGAGCCACCAAGTAGGACTTTTGAGGGTAAACTTTCTTGCAATACTGGCAAGGGAACGTCTTCATCCACAAAGGATGGGGTTTGCGTTCCTCCAGATCGGCACTGGCCGTGAAATTCTCTTTATTTCGGTCGCGTATGGTTTTTGGATCCACGCTGCTGTGCACCCGTATCTGATGAGTTCTCAAACCGGACATGCGTTTGTACTTCAAATGGCAGAAAGGGCACTCGAGGTGAGTGTCTTTCTGATGTGTCTTCATGTGTGCATCGAGAGCGTTCTGCGAATCGTAACTTTCGTAACAACTCTGACAACGAAACGGTTTTCTGTGGTCCCTTAATATGTGTTTGTGCATCTGTTTCTCGCTCTTGAAGCTCTTCTGGCAACGTGGACAAACGGTGCGTAAATTTTGTAGAATATCATCCACCTCCTCTTTCGGTGTATCAGTTGCTGGTATTTTCTCTGATTCTTCTTCTCTTCTTTGTTTTTTACTCTTATTTACTATTGTAGTCTTTGCTTTTTTCTGTTTAAGTTTCTTGCCATCTCTTTTCTTTGTCTTTATTGTTTTAGCTTTATTTTTGGGTGATAATAGCGCGTTAGTCTTTGGTGGCAAGCCGAGCTCTGGATGGATTGGAACTACCACGTTTTTTATATCGTAATAAGATACTGACCCGTCATCATCCTTGATAGGTATGATAATGCTTTTAATAATGTTTAAACCTGTCTCGTCTTTAACTTCAAATGGTACACTTATACTCTTAATTTCTCTTGTCACTGGGTCCCTGACAGGCACTAAAACCGTCGGAACTGTATCAATACACTCTTCTTTAATTCCATCTGCTGCGAAACTATCGCTGACTTCAATTTTCAACGAATTATTGTTGACTCTGCACGATAACGAGTCATCATCTACATCTGACAAAGAACGATACTTCACTTCGTTTACATAGAAATCGTTATTATTACTGCTATCATTCGTTAAATATATTAAACTGTCAGTGTATTTGTTTTCAATTTCGCTCTGCATACTATGGTCTTCGTCTTCGTCGATAATCAAAGGGACCTCAGTTTGTATTTCATCTTCGTCCAAAATAGGGAATCCATTACATTCTATAAAAAGTGGCTGTGCCGGATTCTGTGTAGTAGACGTTTCAGCTATCGTAGACTTCCTGAAACATCCATTCATTAGTCAGTCGAACGAAGGAATCGAGTCACTTCAATAAACAAAAAGCAATTAATTCTCTGCCAAATTGATTCTACGCCGATCGAGATCTTGTTTATTCGAATGATACTGTAGACTTTTGGGAATCGTTACATTTTACAAAACGAAAGAAAAATAATTCTCCTACAAAAAGAATATAATTGAAGGAACAAAGATTTCAGTACCAGCAATGTATCTGTTAACCATTTTATCGAATTTCATTATGATTCAAATATTCGTTTACAATTAATGCTACTTATAATATTCGTACATATGCGTCTCAGAATTCTACATAGACACTAAACCCACCGACACTTCGTGTATACCTATTTCTACCGGTCAAATGACCAGTCTTTCTTTATTCAAATTCATTTTCAATTAAACAAACAATTTATAATCCAGCTTTACCGTACACCAGTCGTATAATCGATAGGAATTGACGAAACTTGTTTGGACGCGTAGAGTCAAAGAAAATTACAAAATAAACATAGAAGACAGCATAAATTATAGTAGTTGGTATAGTCATCGGATAGAGGATGAAAAGTCCTTTAAAATGAGCGTTTGTACGAGTCGATAGCGTAATTAGTTCCGGAGATATGGCGATTTTAGTTTCAAGTCGATGCGGTGGCTGGTTACGGAGATACGAGGGTCCGAAGTTTGTTTACGTTTTTGTCGCGCTCGCGCGAGTTCATTGATCTCGTGCGCGTAGTAAATTCTTGGAAATACTACGCCCGAAACTAGGTCACGGCAGTCACGTGCGTGGGGTAGGTCAGCGCGAGTCACGTACGAGAAAGAGAGGTCCGGCGCGACGCGTCAGACGGAGACAGAGATAGTTCAAATTAGAAAAATTACCTTTCACATAAATTACGATATCTCCGAAACGGGAAGTCGGATCGACAAAAACCAAAAGCCATTTTGAAGAGGAAGGTTTGCCGCCGCTAACGATGCCTTAATAATTAATAAAACATTAATAGTTTCGGAACTGCACGCGTCCAAAGTTTTAATATTTTTAATACGCGTTAATACACGTTTCTAACACGGCGAGAGCGTGGATAGTGGAATTTAAAAAATACCTCTTTACATAAATTACGATATCTCCGAAACGGAAAGTCGGATCGACAAAAACCAAAAGCCATTTTAAAGGGGAGGCTTTGCCGCTTCCAACAGTGGCTCAATAATTAATAAAACACTAGTAGTTTGGGAACTGTACGTGTGTAAAGTTTTACTATTTTTAATACGCGTTATTAGGCTGTTCCAATCTTTTCTATCACCGTGGTGGGCAAGACAGACTACATATTTGTCTCAAAAAACAAACAATAAGGATAGAAATGAATATTGAAAAATTCTTTTCACGTATACTATAGGTACTGAAATTAAATGGCAATAAAATAAGATTATATGTTAGAAATTCTAAACGAAATTTTAAAAACGGTCATTTGACTGGTCGTGGCAGGTTTAGCGTTAATAATTCACATCACGTATCTTACTAAGGAAACCAGTTCGAAGTCTTTCAGTCTACACGAAATTTGTCTAACAGAATTAACAATTTTGAATATTCTGGTTGAACTGTGTGAAACAGCAGTGTTTTAGTTTGAGACGAACTATATTGCAATATAGTATTATCGATATACGAGCTAACGCAGAAAAGAGAAACATTGAAGCATCGTATTAAACGTTAAATATTCCTCTTTTGTTCAGTATCGTTGTAAGCACTTTCAGCGACACTCTCGCACACCTGAGTCCACTGTAATTATACAGGATGTAATAAACTGTCCATGACGGTCAACAATTGTAAAGCCTAATCCCCGTCGTTCTTCAGACTCCCAAGCAATATGGGTGGAACTGGCGGATGATTTCCAGGGTGTTTACGGCGATGGGTCATCATACTACCACGCTGGGTAAACCCGCGTCCACAAATGTCACACACGTACGGCCTCCTCCCAGTGTGGATGAGCGTGTGCATCCTAAGTGTAATCGATTTGGAAAATGATTTCAAGCACACTTTGCACTGGTAAGGTCGTTCGCCGGTGTGCATTCGAGTGTGTAGCTCGAGAGAGTATTTCTTGGCAAATTCCTTGCCACAGTGAGCGCAAAGGAAGCTCTGGAAACTGGTGTGTATACTGGCGTGTCTACGGAGGTTCCTTTCTGTGGCAAAGTTCTTCTTGCAGACGCTGCACTGCAATTTCTTTGGATCTCTCGGCTTTACCCCATGAGCAATGCGTTCATGAGCCACCAGATATGATTTCTGGGGATAAGCATTGTCGCAATACTGACAGGCATAGCTCTTCGTCGTGGACTGATTGGCTTTTTGATGCTCCAAGCTACAATTGGACATCGAATCTTTGCTGCACTTGGGATCTACGGTGCTGTGTTCCCGAATCTGATGTGCAGTCAGACCAGACATACGTTTGTATTTCAAATGGCAGAAAGGGCACTCCACGTAAGTGTCCTTTTCGTGAGTTTTCATGTGTTTCTCGAGAGCGTCCTCCGAAGCATAACTGAAATGGCACTTCTTGCAACGGTAACGGTTTTTGTGTTTCCTGCGAATATGCCTGTCCATCTGTTTCTCGTTGTTGAAACGTTTCTGACAAAGGGGACAAATGTTTCGTAAAGTTTCTAGTATCTGATCCACTTCGTCTTTCGGTGCACGTTTTTCGTTCTCATCCTTCCCCTCTAACTGTATAGTTTCAACGCTATTCTGGTCTCCTTGCGCATCCTCCTCTCGCAGTCTTTTGTTCTGTCGTTGCTTAGACTTGGACTTTTCCATTTTCTGCAACGCTTTGCCTTTCTTTTTTGGTGGAATCCGCTCAGGATTAATCGGCACTACAACCTTCTTTATTTCGTACGATACCGTTCCGTCTTCGTCCTTGATCGGTATGAGAATACTTTTGATGATGTTTAACCCTGTCTCGTCCTTGACTTCAACTGGTACGTACATGTTCTTGATTCTTTTCGTCAGTGGGTCTCTGATTGGTACCAAAACCGACGACACTGCGTTGGTAGATGGCTCGTCTTTAATCGTATCGGTAGCTGAATCGATGGTAACTTCGGTCGTTAACGAATCACAGCTTACTTTGCACGAGAACGAGTCACGATTAAGTTCTGACAAAGAACGATTATTCACTTCACTTAAATACAAATCATCGTTCGCGTCAGTTTCACTATCCTCCTCCATTATCCGATTAGTAGCAATATCGTCGAAGTGTCTTTCAACGATGCTCTGCATACAATGTTCATCGTCTTCGTCGGAAACCGGGGAATCCTTAAGTATCGACACTTCGTCCTGGTCCAAAGCAGGAGCTCCGTTACATTCTATAAAAATTGGTTGCACTGGGTTATGTGTAGTAGGCGTATCTTCGATCGTCGACATCCTGAAACATCCATTCATTTAGTAAGTTGTGTGAAAGGATCAATCCGCGCGGTTAAACAAAGAACAACTAATAATCGGCATAACAGTCCGCGTGACTTCCTATATCACTCGGGAACTCGTTTGCTCGTACGTAATTCTTGTCTTTAAGAGTTCGTTATGCGTTTGTGGGAGGAAAGGAACGTATTTGGAAATATATGAAATTACACGATGAAAATTGAAAAGCTCAAACAAAGCGTTTAATTACAGAAGCTAGAAATTAAGTACAATCGATTTATTGAACATTCCACCCAAGTAATTGCGTGTACAATTTAATATTCAATGATAGTTAATGCCATTAATGTCGATAAATGTCAAAGCTTTTCCGTAGAGTCAATAGTGGTGATAGCGCGACGCAATCGTGATAAGGCAACCCGCTTACATTCGATTATAATTGGGCGTACAATTCGTAAAACTCTTCTACCGGCTTGTTATTTGGACGATGATAGTGTTACAAATATTCTGATATTCAATAGCGACATTTTAATTGAATTGTGTCTTGTACATTTTCGAATTTTACGTGAAACGTGTAATGATAAGATTGTGTCTTTGCCTATCGTACGAATGAAATACTGTGTGATCAAATATTCGTCAATAACGATGCACTAAGTTTATACATTTTCGGTCCGAGAAACAAATTTACAACAATTCTGCTTATCAATAATTGATACATCACTTTCGATGCACCTCGCAAATATGATACATGGAAGGTGGAGGAAAAGAATATCACATAAATGACATGCACTTATTGTAATATAGAATAACGTTATAAACTTAATGAACGAATATCTGTGAAGGTGCGACGAATCTTTTATTGTATTATACAAATTTCAACGCTAGAAAACAATTTTGCATGCGACAAATGAAAAATAATCGTTCTCGGCAGTGCAAAAGTATACAAAAGAAAAAAAAACATTTTACAAATACACTTTCACCTTGGGGTATTTCGAATTAACGATACGAACGATTAAATTTAGAATGATATTCGGTGAAAATGGAATGCAGCGCTATCAATTGAAAACTTATCAGATATTTATTTATACCACGTGATTCGTATGCATAAGTTCTTGATAAACTTCAAAAATGAAACATAAAAAATGCATATTTGCAACACTGATAGATACGAGTAAACTTAAAAGCGCAACGAAATAAAGTGACATATACCGTAATAATAAACAAAGATTACTATATTCAGTCATACCATGAAAGGAAACGTAACAAATCTCTATCGAAACGTTCGATGGACGTCGTTCTGTGCCGCTCTGAGCACTCGCAATTAATCCTTCAAAATTCACAGGAATCACTACATGCAGTATTTTTCACTTTGTTGAAGCAAAATGTACCTGATATCGAGGGAATAGAATTTACTACTCGTCGCTGTCACGATTGGCAAGTGATACGACAGGCGGCAGTGGGTGGTTCCCGGGGTGCTTACGGTAATGGATC